GAAGTTTCATAAAAAATCATTATCTTGATTAAATATAGATCAGAGTCGAAATTTTCAGAGAGTTATTTTATTCTAGTGATGCTCTATATATGAGCATAGTTTGGTGTCCATTGAAGCAGATCATCTACGAATGTTTTGTTATTGAAACTTGGTACTTTCTCAATGGCTTGTAATATGCGTTTTTCTCCACTTGCAATACTTACCATTTTAGCACTTCAAAATGCTTACACATCCAACTAAAAGTGCTTATTGTCTGCTCAACATGAGCTCTTTCCTTTACTTTTCAACGAGAAATATAATCTACCTTAAGCAAGCGTATTTTCTAAAACTTACACATGAATGCTCACTTTATTTTTAAGTTTTCTGCTATGTTTTTGACTAACCTATGTCAGATGAACATTGCACTTCTGTCTATAAATATTTCTAAAGTAATCTAATAGATATTTAAGAACTTTTTCTATTCCGAAAGCAAGACTCAATAATGTGTACAAGTTCGAATTCTAAATAGCGTTGAATCAAATAGAATAAATGTTTGGAATGGCTAGTCTTGTTGATTTGAAATAGTGAAATTGTTTTTTCTTTCATATCTACAATACACTCGTTCAAAACGGAGCAAAGAAACATGAATATTTTGTTGAAATATTCAAAATAGAACTAATTTTCACGTTACCATCATATTATCTACAGACATTCTAAAGATTATATAAAAACACCAATCAATCAATTAGTAGATCTCTATTAAAAATAGTTAACTGAAATCGTCAAATCGTACGTTGATCATATCTCTATATAGTATAACAGCTATAGAACAAAAACTCTCAGTACAACAGCGAATGAAATACAAAATATATAACTTATACAAGAATATTAGATTAATCAAAACGAAGAAAATCTAGAGATTTACGAACTATAGATCATCAAAATCAAAATAAACATCGTACGAAAAGAAAATAGCACATTTATTGAACGAATTCACTTCGCTATTTCCACAGCAATATTCCTAAGAAATTAGAAGACAAAGTCTAGATCAAAATTTACACTCACTATTATGTAGATAATTGCATATGATTATTTGTGTACTTTTGGAAAACGAGCGTCGGAGTCCTTGCAGAAAACTTTAATATCTTGTTCAACCTAAAGAAACTTTCAAAAGAATAACATATGTCTGAATTTATAGTTCACACTGACGTGGACTCTACGATTAGTCAAAGCGTTAGAGTATCATTTGTTTTAAAACGCACCTGAATCTTCTCCGTTGAAACACCAGTGTCCAAGGTGACAGAAGAACAAAATGAGACAAAGCTGAATAAGGTTTGTTGATTTGAAGAGAAAGAATATGAAGCAGTGCACAAGGCAATGCTTGTTCAACTCTTCAGTCTTTGATGAATGTAACCAATTATCTATCACTACGGTCGACTTAGCTGCGCACACAATCAAGAGAGACAACATGTGGAGAACTCCAATTTACCATGAAAATAATTAATCTTAATATAGATCTCTATATGAAGTCTCATTAATTTGTATAGGACATTTATTTTCTCACAAGCAGTGTTCATCAAATGAACATTTATATCATGCTAGACTGAAAGAATAATAAAATTAGAATTGAAGAAAAACTTTGATTGACTCCCCATAATATGTTATTTGACTAATGAGAAAAAGATCTCTTTTTAGAAATCTTTCAAGGAAAAACTGTAAGAATTGTGTCAAGGTCAAGACAACCACCTAGATAACGAGAAATAGTTCTATAATACCAGATGATCTCCACATACAATCATCCAATATATCAAAGTTATTTTTATGAGTAGTATGTATATTGCAATAATAGCAAGTTCAATAAAATAAATTATTGAGTTGTTGATAATGTCTATAAAATCATGAGTTTGTTTGTGTAAGATTTTTTTTTGTTCGGAAGCAATTGAGGTATCTCATTACATATGGCTAATTTAGTAATTTCTGTAATTTCTTAAGTCGTTACAGAGTTCTGAAGAATTTTCAATGCATAAAGATGAATCGGAGTCGATCAGAAGATGGTGATTATCGATTGAAGAATGTCCAAAGCGTCGACAGCTTGTGTAATAATATTTTGAATATACTAAAACCAATGACCGTGGGCTATAGTGTTCGATTCTATTTTGATATGAAAGCATGCACTGAGGCATCCTTAATACTGACTCTGAATTTGAAAATAGTTATAGTTGAAAGATTTCATCGAGATACAAATATCACATCAGCATTCCTTTTTGTATCAAACAGTCATGAGTATGTTTTTACACATATAAATCAGTCAAACAGTTCTCTAACTTTCAAATATTTATTCATAGAAAAAAACCATTTTCCTGATCTTTTTACAGTAAATGTTCGAAATAGTTCTCACAACATTGAATACAAAGTTTTATCCTTTCAATGCACTTCTTCTAGGATGTATTTTGGTACTCTTCAATAGATATTGAGTTGAATTCCTTCGTTACAACTTTAGTCAAACTTGTAGTATCTGGATATGTAGCAAGTGTATGTTTCAGAGACTTGAGCAACCAAAAATCTGAAATAGCAGGATCAGGTGAGTATAATGGATGCGCCATAATTTTGTTTTTTTCTTCTTGACGATAATAAAAGAAAACAATGTTTTTCATATGAGGTCATGCATAATCATGGCACTGCTTTATGGCATGAATGGCTGATGATGGTGTTTTTTGTGTAATTTTTTGACTAAGCTTTTTGAACATATATCACAATAATATATAACTTTGATTGATGTCTCTGAAGATATCTAATGAATAAATATTGGTCCATTTGTCATTAAAAAAAAAAATAACGAACATTGTTTTTTCTTCAAATAATTGTCTTCTGACTTCTGTTGAAGAACTTTCTTCTTTTGTTACTCATACACTAAACTTTCGTTTTGATTTAATTTTTCAATGATGAATCCAAGACTCGTCCTCTGTGGTTATATACATAGTCGTGAGTTAACGTTCAAAGAATCTTTTCATTTGAATACAAAGGAAAATTGTTATTCTTTTTGTTTTTATATTCTTTTCTTAAATGATCAACTTGTATAAAGTGAGCATTAGATTTCCTTCCATCAGGGCAAAAAGAGTCATTTATTTCTGATTATCACATTTCTTATCACTTCTATCTATTTTTTATCAATTAAATTTATATTCATTTACAACTAATATTTTTTTATGTTTAAATTTACCTGACTAAGTTTCATTTAGTTATGATAATTAAAATTTTATTCATAAAACAGTTAAATAACAAAATATTCAATCAAATGTTTAACTGCAAGTATCGATATAAGATTAATCTTCAAAAAAAAAATTAAGATTATTACTTTAATAATCTTATTCTGATCATCCTTGATTAAAGAATATGTCTTATAGTTCATGTATTTTAACGTGTATTTTATTAATCAAACTTCATAAAAAAAAGTACTTAAGTCAGATTTGTTTTTCAATATATTGCTTTTATCCGTTGGACTAAATAAATGTATACACACATTTGTTCATATTTTTTAGTCGTTTGATAGATGTAAATAATCGAGTTTCTATGAAATTATAGTCAAACAAGAAAAAATAAGAAAATTAATTAAGTTAAAGTCATATATGTTCTCTCTTTTAATTTATATAAACTATTATATTTTTTCTAAAATCAAGAGCATATAATAAACTTCATTGTTATCGAAATTTTGTCTTTTTTATTTATGTATAAACGAATTTATAATGATTAGCCATGAACTAAATTCAAAATCAATCTGATAAAACCTATCGAGTTTGAGTTTGATGTACAGAAAATTCCGACTTAAATAAAACTTGTTTTCTTTTAAATTCATTAAAATAACTAAGGACATGATATATTATGAATAAAATAATATTTCTTTGTTATCAAGTTATATTACATGCTTAACGTTTCTTTTTCATAATCTTCTTCGACGATCAATTTCTTTAAAAAATATTCTTTGATATACATTCAAGTAGAATTAAATAATACGTGGAAGTGTATTATTGCAAAGAAAAAATGTCATAGTGACATACTAATATTTACCGAATTGGTATAAATTACATCTATAATGATCGTTGTATTTTACTAGTATAGAAAACTTCTCTTCGAATGAGTTCCTTAAGACTTATCCTTAACTACTTCAATGCGAGTTCATTTTGTTATTTGGCAGAACAACTTTCGAAAGATTCTAATAAAAGTGTATCACACCAATCATTTTTATGATTATAGTTATATTTGAATCAATCAAGAAAACAAACAATTTCCTTCCGACTTTTTCTTTGTCAATCAGATCTATTCTAATATCAAATATTCATTTGTTTATTTGTAACCAAAATAAAGAATGTGTAATCAAAATAGTAAAAACCGAGTAGATCTAATCCAAATATAGAATTACCTAGAAAAAAAAGAGCTGTGATCATAATACATGGTAGATGAAACCAAATGGCGAGTAAATATATTAATCGTTTACTTAGAATGTAAACAAAAAGTAATGTTGAAACATTTCAACCATTAAGTCTTATAAATAGAGATAGTAAGTAGTAGCCATAGTTGAGCGTTAACAATAATATTTTATTTACGTATTCACACATTTCAGAACCGAGATGAAAAAAAAATGTTCGATAAGCCCAATATAAAATTAGTCGTTTTTTTTAAAAAGATTTCACAATGCTTCAAACCATATCTTACGCATGAATATGACTTTTTCACAAGCAACTCATGTCGTTTCAGTTTCAAATGAATATTCTTAATAAACTCCTAAATTATGCAAACAAAATTCTCTTAGCTTCGATACCCATTGATGATTCTTCATATATCATTCAAGAAAATCGAAATGAATTGTTAATGATTTCATCACATCTATATCATATGTTTTTCTATATTTATAAAGATAATAAAAGAGAATTTTTACTATGATAACTATATTATATTTATTTGAATTAATAATAAACATATTCAATTACAAAAAATACAAGATTTTATAATAATAAGTATTTAGTTCAGCAGACAGTACGATATTCTTCTTCTTCGCCTTTGTATTGAACATGATTGCCACAGGTTCGATGCCAAAAGCAGTCGCTATCAGAACAACATTCTTGCCATACTGATCGTTTTCCCATTACACCTCCTCTTTGAGTGTAACACCACCAGTCACCTACTCGAACACGTCCTTCATAAACGTAAGCCCAACAATAGCCTTTGTAACAACCACATCGACTACCATCACAATCACCAGCAGCTGTCTTTTCTACGATCATTCCGAAGAAGAGAAGTGCAATCATAGAAACAATAAGAGCGTTCAATTTCATCATGATAGTTGATAGCTATGCATACAAAAAAAAAACAATTATTTAACAGATACAATTCTATACGGATAACTAGAAAATGGTCAACTTATACCCATTCAAATGAAACCAATGTAATTCTTATTTACGACGACAAGCTTTCAAGCTAAATTCTAGAATGATTCTGCTTCGTTTATTCTTTCAATCAAACAGTGAAATTAAGTCTTTAAGGTTCATAAAAGAAATCTATCTTCAGTAACTACAAGTTGAGAAGAATATCATTGGAATCGTCTGTTAAAAAAAATACCGTATTTGAATGTTATAAATTGAAAGCTACTTTATTTTCTATTAGACTTTCGTCTTCTAAGAAGGTAAGTGATTCGTGAAGTAACAAATTGCGCTTAGCTAATTTCTATTGGCCTGCTAATTTTCTTCTAATAATGTTTCTAGTGCCGTAATTCTATTCTACGAAAATTCAACTATACACTTGGATTGCTTACAGCAAATGATACATTTTTCATGAAGTGATAAACAACAATGTCACTTACAGTCTTATGTTATAAGATGAACGATTACGAGATGAATGAATCTTGTATGTATGCATTTGTTTGGTTACATGCTTGAATTTATACGCTGAAACGAAAGGGGGAAAACAAAGAAGAAATAGGAGACGAATCGAACGGTCTGGATTATTCCATGATTAATTTGTATAGTCAATATATATAATCGTTAAGTAGCAAATTCAACCTGTTGTGATGACGTTAATTTTTCTCTGCATGTTTGCATATTGACCCGATATCTTTTTTTTTTTCATTTTATCCGTCGACGAATGAATCATATATCTGTTCTAGCTATGAAATATGTGGAAATAATTCACACATAGAGTACGTAATCTAGTCATACAGAGAATGATAATTTTTAGTTTGATGAAACTCATACGGAAAATCAATCTTGTCTTTATGATTCTGGACGTATGAAGATTAATATCTGGTTTTTTGAGTTATGAATCAAAATCTATTGTAGATGGCGTTAGTTTTATTAAGATCTTGAGAATATCTTGGAGTCAAAGATCGATCCGAATATAATCATAATGAGAAAACTCAACTTAATTTTCTGTAAAAGTTTCATCCAATCATTTTCACTTTCATTATACTAGAAAAATTCGTCATCTTTCAAATCTGATCATGGATTAACTGATGTAGTCATTGTTTCCAAGAGAGAAGAGGTCATATTTGTTTTATCTATTCTTCTTTCTCGTCTGTTCGTATCCTTGTAATGAATTTGTTATCTAACGATGGATTGCTTTCTATGTTTCAACAAAATATTATTTTTAAAATAAAGTTGAAAAAAATTCTGAATTTGGAAAAGATATTTTACGGTTGATAGAACTAAAACTTGGAGCATGATGAAGATGAATTTATTTTTTCATTAAATTATGAAATAACTAGTAGTACTTTGCAATAGTTCAAAATAAGTTTGTAATACTTCAAAGTAGTTCTGAGTACTTTGAAATACATCGTTTTCTCTTCGACAAAAAGAAAACTGATCAGAATCATTAATGAACTCACTAACATCATGAAAATTATATGAAGACTTTATTTGATAATACGATTTTTATTATCATTCAATTCGAATTATGGAAAGACAAAGATTCAACAGTTACCAAAAAACAAAATAAAGCAGAAAAATATTTTGAACATATTCTATACCAAGAGATGAATGATATAATGTGTGATTACTGTAATGTTTATCATACAAAATTATTTTTTTTGGTATTATAATGTTGTTGATGATGATTAGACATTGTTGGAAAAGATGATGATGATGAATTATTTGAATAATGTTTATTAATCATCATTAGAGCAGTAGTTGTCGAAGATGGTGGACCTTTTGGAATAGTTGATATGGTATTACCATTGGAAGATGAATTAAAGATGTTTGAAGAAGGTAAAGCACCAATAGGATTTGAACCGTTTAAAACAGTTCGTTGATATTGTTGTTGACGTGGTGGTGATGAATATTTTGAAGATAAGACAATATCAGCATGAGATTGAGAACGACCAAGTCGAACATTATTAGCTCGTAATTTTGATGAAATTGTTGAAGAAGATACAAATGATGGAGAATTAAATGTTAAACGACTTTGACTTGAATCAGTTAAATCTGTTATCTGAAAATATTCAATCATTATTGATACATATATTATTTTTTTTTGGTTTAGAAATAAATTACCGAATCACATTGTTTACTGCGCATAGGAGTTTTTAGTAGATTACCATTTATATTCTGTGTTGTACCTCGAAATATCTTAAAATCGAATAAATTAAATTTATTGAAAATAAAGTAAAGATTTACTTTAAGAGAATTAGATGTTAATCGATGTGTTATTGTATTATTATGTAATTTATTTTTATCAACAATAGTACGTAAATCTGATGTATTTATATTTGTTTTTGATTGATTTGAATCATTATTAATTGATTCTTGTTGTTTATTTGGAGTTGTTGTTGTTGATGATGATGATGATGATGTTGATAAATTTACATGATTTGCAGTTGCATTTATTAATCTTGTTAAATTATTTTCAACTAATATTTGACGTTGATCATTTTCAGCTTGAAATTCTCTCATCATTGTTATTATATCTTTAGCTGGTTCTCTATCAGATCGACCCTATATATATATATTAATTGATATTAAAAGCAAAAATTCGACAAGTAAAAAAATACCGTCAACCACGGATGTACAATTAATTCACCCATTGTTCGACGATGAACTGTATCATAAACAAGCATTCCTTGTAAAAAGTCAAGACCTACAACAACGATTATTTATTTACAGTAGTTGCAAAAAGTCTTGTTACTTCATAAAAAGTACATAAATTTTAATCGTTTTAGTCTCATAGTTTAATTACAAATAGAGTATGTTGAATTTTGATCGCAAGAACTTATAATCAGTATTCATTTGTACGATTTACAAGATTAACGTAGATTTTTCTTCAGACAAAAATATTTCAATATAGAATATAAATCTTATTATAGTCATGTGAAGTTTTATTTGTGTATAAGAAAATTAGAAAAGTGTCGAAAAAGTCTGTTTTAGGAGTCTACAAAGAAAAATATCAGTATTTTTGTTGCAAATCCTTTGCATTAGGATTTATTGATCTCGAGTTGCTGCTTACAATTACGGATTTATTGAGCTGTATTTCCAATTACAAAATAAGGGGAAAAAAATTGAAATTTATGTAATTTTTATCTGATCGTAAGACTTCTTGCTACTACTATATATAGTAAATATAAATGAAAAAAAAAAAAAAAAACCTTCAGATGAAATATTTCGAAATTTTTCCGAATCAAATCGAAGTTTTTGTGAACGAATTATTTCAAGTAAACGTCTTTCATCATTAGAAACATAAGGATGACGACCACAAATTCTATGAAAAATATATAAAGAAAAAAAACAGACAAAATTTTAATTATCAAACTAATTAATTATCTTACAAATAATACATAATAACTCCCATAGCCCATACATCACAAAGTGCACTATAATTTTTATTTTCCAATATTTCTGGTGCCATATAACTAATTAATTAATAATAAATTATGATTTTTTAATATCAAATAAAATAAAATTATAAAAACTTACAGTGGCGTACCACAATAATCATAAAAAAGTGAATCTGTAGAAGTAATACTTTGTTTTGAACTTAATCCAAAATCAGTAACCTTTGAAAATAATTTTCAATGTATTATTTCATTTTTTTTTTGATAAAAACAATAAATATACTCGAATATCAAATTCATCAGTTTTATTTATTGGAGAATTTTTTAATAAAATATTTTCTAATTTAAGATCACGATGTACAATATCTATATAAGAGAAATATAATCTATATAAATAAAAAACAACAACAAAAAATAATGTACAATTAACTTAACTCATTTTATGAAGATAATGTAATGCACTTATTAATTTTGACATTATTTGTTTAACTGTTTCTTCAGGTAATGGACCAATCTTTTTAACACATCCACCTAATTCACCACCTTCACATAATTCAACAACTAAATAAAGTTTCTGAAAAGTAAATCAAAATTCAATTAAATATAATGAATTGATTGTCTAAATATATTGATAAAAGCTATTAGCACTATCCCAATTAGATTAGTATGTGAAACACAATGTACTATTCATTTCAAAATATAATGTGCTCTACTGTTTCATCAATAAATTGATAGAAATATTATAGAGATCTATGTTTTTCGTCATACATGAAAGAAAAAGACTAGGCACCACCAAAATATATCGAACTTTAGTCAGTCGACAACTGGCCAATAAGACAAGTTTTTGGTGAGAATTTTAACAGCGATACATTTAAGTTATTTCACATTCGATATACGCAACGCCGACGTTTCTCGCTTGTTTCGTTCGAGAGTTACAAGACTTTTCCTATGAAACGTTCCGATTTCAGCTAATTAATCTGCGGTCATCTAACAGAAACAGCTGAGCAGAGGTTATTTGTGAACGGTAATACCAGAGGGATCAAAAAGTTCTGGGAATTTTAAAAGGGACCGTGCTGGGGTTGGTAACCTATCCAGAATTCAAAAATCAAACACACTATGTTGTAGAACTAGTCGCTATGTTGTAGAACTAGTCGAGGCGCGTCGAATGGTATATTAAAAAATCTTGTTTTCATTAGATTTTGAGGGAACCAGACTAGATTTACTGGTAGACGCCCATGGATTCAACGACTCACCAACAGTCACTACGCATGGAAAAAGATGGTGGATCATCGAAAAGTCACATTTTTCCCTATCAAAGATAGGATGACCGGAGATGCTGAGTATATGAGCTTTTAGCTCGTGAATAGCGCTATAAAACTGTATATAGGAAAATTATTTTTACAAACCCTTTCGACTGATACCAAGACCCACAATGCTCAGTGATTTCACTCGATGGTCACCTACCAATAAATCCAGTCTGGTTCCTTCCAAATCTTATGAAAACAAGATTTTTTTATATATCATTCGACGCGCTTCGAGTTACTCTACAACATGGCACATTTTGTTTTTTTTTAATTCTGAATACATCACCAAATCCGACACGCTCGTTTTTAAAGTTTTCAGAATTTCTTGGTCCCCCTATGTATTTACTTTTAAGTAAAAAATAATCTGACACTATCATTGCCTTGTTTCTGAAATTTCATCAACAGCGTCGATGAAAAGAATGAGTCAATATTTCGGAAACATTCAGATAATAGTGTCAGATCATTTTGAACCTAAAAATAAATATCACTGTTCGACTCACTATGGTAAACTACCACTGACTAATTGTTTTTCAGAGGATTAAAGTTCAATGGAGTAAGATCGCTGGTCTTAGAAGAAGTCTTATAACTCTTGAACGAAACAAGCGAGAAATGTCAGTCTTGAGTCAATGGAAAGGAAAATGATTTTAAGAATATCGTTGTCAAAAGTCTCCATTGATAACTCATCTGATTGATCAATTATTTACCGATCATATTCGATATGCTAAGATGATTTCGAGTTTTCTCTGATCAATAGTGGAAATTGCAGGTTCCTATTATATTCCTATCAAAATTTATTCACAATACAGTGCAATACATGATACTTTGAAATGAATAGTAGCTGCTATTGTTAATCACAGGAAGTTTATTTTATTCTATCTATTTTAGTACAAACTTCTTCAACATCCTTTTATTTAATCGTCCAGAAAAGTAATAAAGTAGTAGTTCATACATTATAGTATGATTTTATTGATATACGATCTGTGACATGAACATACAAATATAACTCGATGAGGATTCACGAACATTTTTGCTCTGAATTATCAAAAATGAATTAGACTTATGTCATTACTAATAGTATTAAAGTGTCTTCTATGAAAAAGATATGAGAACATTTGATTAAATTCCTCAGTGTTTTCAGAAGCCCTACAGGTAACAGGTTAACTTTTTTTTTGAGATATAAAATTATATTTCCACCTTTCTGAGAGTGTGTAATTGTGAGGTGTGATCGCGAGTTTTTCATCGCCTTGAAACTCACATCTACGTCTTTCTCTGAACAGTGAGGATTTAACTTTATTCCAAATCCTGTATTTTTTGAATGAGCAAAAACTGCTATGATTATTTTTTTTTGACAAAAAAAACTTACTTGAGATGATTCTAATACTTCATGAAGTTGAATAAGATTGGCATGATTAACTTCTGTTAATAATTTTACTTCATTATCAAGAATTGATGCTTTAGATTTATTGCCAGGCTAAAACATAGAAAGAGAAAATTTCATTGAATACAGACACAGTCTAATAAAAAAAAAAATCAATTACTTTTTTTGTAATTGTTTTCAAGGCATAAAATAAATCATTTTCTTTATTTTTAACACGAGATACAGTTCCAAATGAACCTTCACCTAATTTATTTAAAATTTCATATCGTGTTTCTATATTTCCATCATCATGAAGACGTATATGAGGTATCTGACGTGTTAATACAGTTGAAAATGGTTTTTTCATTCCATTGGCCATATTACAAATAAATATTATTATTGAAAATAACTTAAAACTAAAAATTCAATATATAAGAATCGTTCGATAAATATGAACTCACATTATCTTTGATGATAGACAACTATGATAATAATAAAGATTCGATGGCTAAGATATACATTAACTTATGCTAGATAAATAAAAAAAAAAAAATCAAAGAAACCTTAGATATTCAAATATAGTCGAACATATATTAAATTTGTTTCTTTTTTCTCTATGAAAGAATAAAGAACAATTCTTTTTAAAATTTTTTTATCGAAATAAAACTCAAGCATGTCATTACATTGTATCTATAGTAAATATAAGAGAAAAAAACTACGAATTCATGTCTTGCTTATATATTTTGGTATACATACATTAGGCAGTAAATGAATGTTAACAAAAACAGGCACTTATTTCAAGAGTTTTTTTCTTTTTTTAAAAAGCTTTTCTTTTTTTTTTTTGTTTTGTATATAAAAGAAAGAAAAAAAAGAATGACCTAATATTCTTGATTTGGATAAATAAAGAGTATTGAATCCTTTAGTATGTTCAAAATGTCATGCACACTTATTGATATACTTCATAATCAAACAGATATAAAAAAGGAATATGAAATTTAACATGTGTAATAAAGATTAAAATTTCTTTGCAATATATTGATAATAAAACAAAAAAAAAAAAAAAAGAATTTTCTTTTTAACATTTTACAATGAGATTTCTACTTGTTTTTTTTTTTCGTGTTTAAATTCTTCTTAACATAAGTATTCGAAGCTTTTAATAAAGAAAATATTTTTCTTATAAGACGACAATATATGAAAGAAAGAAAAAGAAAAAAAGATTTAATAGACACAATCAGTTGTTTTCTTCAATTGAAAAGGAAAAATATGAAACACTGCTGAGAGAATCTACGGAATGATTAACAAATCACATAAGGAAATTAAATTCATCGATTGATAGCTTCATCTAAAATGATTCTACCATGTTCAATTGAACAATTTCTACAACAAAGTTTATCGAAGACATACAATGTTTGGAAAAAAAAAAAGCATTTCAAAAATATTATGCTATGAAATCTTGAACGTGTACAGAATAATACCAAATAAATTGCATGCAACCTAAAATAAGTCTCAATGGGATACATAAAGATTGAATTTAGTTGATTATAAATCTTGATTACATTTGTCAAGCAGTTTGTTTTTTCATCTATTATATTGAATTAATTAAAAAACAAATAATCTTTCAAGTAAATAAATCTGGCACTCAATCATGTGTACTTTCGCCGGAATCCATAGGTAACGATGACGTTTCCCGTTCGGAAAACTACAGGAAATGGTAGAAACTTGAAAACAGGAATTCGATGATTATAGCTGATAGTCAAATGTGTTCAAAACTGAAAAAATTCAGCTATTGAATTTTGATCATTGGATTCCTACTTTCAAATTCTATGCGTTTTCTTTCATACATGGTTCCGAAAAAAGAAATTGAATTTATGGAAACTTATTTATTCATATAATCAAATAAAACTCAAGCAAACAAAAAAAATAACAACATCAAATTCGATCCTATAGTTATGTTCATGATTGATTCATCTTAAAAATAGTATCCATTACAGACTTCATCATCAGCATGTACAGCTTCGAAATTAGATTTAATTTTCCTCTACTATTCAACAAAATCAGAGTTTGTACAGATTTGTGACTGTTATAAGACGTGTTTTACTTTATCCTTAATTTATTATGTCTTGCACTTTATTGATAAAGACGATAAATTATTAATAAAAAATAACAGATATTCAATAGCATTATCTCTGCAGATTAACATATACATATATATATATATACTAATAAAAGAGTCTAATAAAATAAATATTGTACTTTTTATTTGAAATCTGTCTATTACCTTTTGCCGTCGATTGACTATGAATGTAATAAAAAAAGTATGTTTGAATGTAGAAGTAATAACAAAAAGAAATACAATTCCATTTATACAATAATTTTTTTGTTGTTCTCGTTACGGTCTTTTGTTCCGTAGAAAATCCAATAAATGCCGATTCGTTATATAGTTATTCATCATTACATTATTTTTTGACACGCGACAGCAAACCTACTAACAATGTACACCCAATCGAACAATCTTAGGGAAAGAAGAAAAAGAAAGAAAAATATGTTAAAAGGCTTCATTGTAATAGTACTATTTTTCGTTTCTACTCAAATCGGAATAACCATTTAAAACGTCCTTCTTCAATTGTTGCTTCCCTTCAGCTTCATGCTTTACTGATGTATTAATTCTATAGATGTCAGTTTATCAATATACTATTAAATAAATATGTAATATTTATTTCTTAGTTGTGTTTACTTGAATATGTGTAGAATAAAAGTAAAATAAAATTTTATTAGAGTTTGATGTAATAATAAAATGAATATTATGATATTTCTATTGGTAGTTTCGTATGAATCAAATTGAAGACTAAAATTTGGTTGGCTTTTAACGTTTATGAAAAAAAAAATTTTCTCGTGTGACATAAAAATAAACTTGACATTAAGATGAATACAGATCTCGAAGGACTTTTGGAATTTCTTCTCTATATTGGTCAAGCAAAACGAACATTTCGTACTGGTTGGGTAATACATGGTGTCGAAAAAGTTGAAAGTGTTGCTGATCATATGTATAGAATGGCTGTTATGTCGCTTTTATTACCAACTATATCTGAAGAGTCAAAAGTTCGTTGTATGAAATTAGCACTTGTTCATGATTTAGCTGAATCAGTTGTTGGAGATTTAACTGAATTTGATGGTGTACCAATAACAGAAAAACGTCGACGAGAAACAGAAGCAATGCTTTATTTAACAAGTTTATTACCAGCTGATGTTGGTAGAGAAATATTTTCATTATTTAATGAATATGCTGATCAAAAAACAATTGAATCTAAACTTGTTAAAGATTTAGATATATTTGATATGCTTTTACAAGGTAAATTTTTTTTCGAATTATTTTTCCGTTTTTTTGTTTTCTAAATTAAATTTTTAGCTTATGAATATGAAAAATTACAATCTGAAGGTGAATTTTTAGAAGATTTATTTTCGGGTTCTGCACATAATATAAAAACAACAATTGTTCGACAATGGCTTAATCAATTAATTGAATGTCGATCATCTGGTAAACAATTTCAATTACCATCAGATTCAAATTTAAATACAATGCTTAAACATATTCTTTATGATGATCAAGGTTTGCATTTTTATATTAGATTATTTAATGAAATATAAAAAATTTATCATAAAAAAGAAAAAGACTTCGAAGTTTTTATTTTCATTATAGAAGATTAAAATCAATAGACACTATTTTATCTAAACTTTATTTAGTTAAAAAATCATAATTTTTTTTCAAATTATTTCATAATAAGACTCATTAAGAGACTTTATTTTTCATATTTGTGTTTTGATTGTTCATTAATAGTGTTTTCCCATTAAGTAGCATCAGATACAAACGATAATGAATATTTTTAAATATGATCATGACAAGCTTAAGTACAAAGATATGTTTGAGATGTAGATCTTGACTTTGTTTTTTTTTTTTTATTGACGTCTTCATAAGCTGAAAGTTATAGTATTTCTTTTGTATAAATATGTTTTTTATAAATAGAAGTATATAGAAATGAAAATGAAAAGCAATCAAGTGTGTCGGCCATGATAAAAGAGAAGAATCATATGTACAGAAGGCATTCAAATATAAATAGAATAGTTACAAGGTTGTTAAAAATAAAAAACGTAATGATAAGAATTTTACACTTCATTACAAAGGTCTTCAGCTAACAATGGAAAAAAAAACTAAAATTATCATATGAAACTTTTTAGTTATTTCAATTCTATTAATACGAACATAGTAGATTGAATTCATTCTATTGAAAGTGTCTGCCATTATATCCCAAACACCTGATAAACTCAAAATAATATATTCGTGAATAATAGACTTTAACTATGTAAGAAGTTCTAGAGTATAATATTGATACACCCTTGCAGTACGAAATTTTCGTGTTTTATCTTTAACAAAACTTTGATTAAATTTCATAAGATATAAGAGTTCTGCTGAAAAAATTGTTTTTTTTTAGTTTTTGGTAAATGTTATAGACAAGTAAAAATTGATAAATGTACATTATCATTGAATTTAAGAATGATTAATAATTTAGAAAAAAAAGTTCAATTTTGAAAAATTATTATTTTAGGATGGCTATGCACATTGCATTTTAAACAGTTCAACAATAAAAAGGCGTGAAAATACAACAGAAATTTGAAAACGAAGACTATTTTGAGAAAATTTCAATCTTTGTCGGATCAAAAATAAATACATATGCTTCAGTCTTAATTTTTATACTAATAAATATTAACTTTTGATAATATTTAATTAATCTTGTATATATTCTATATTCTTATGTTAATATACATAATAATTTTATTCTAATTATATATAGGAACATTTTTATACAATTTTCCATCGTCGGATCTTCGTTCAAAATCACATCGTCTTATTTCAAATAAAAATAAACTCGATAGATCAACATCATCATCATCATCTATAGATACAACTCAACGTCTAACAAATCTTGTCAAAGGTTTAAAACATCATTATAATTAATCTTATTTTTGATTTCGTTGTGAACAGTTTCAACTGAAAGAAAACATTTATGTATTAATTAGAATTTAGAAATGCTTCTTCTTTATATTATTTGGCTCATATTGACATAACATAGTCAATGCCATATTTATATTCAAATATTGTTCTATTGTACAGTATTCATCTCTTTTATTGCTATTTTGTGCATAATAAATAAATAAATAAATAAATACATTTTTGTTTTTTTAATTTGAATTATTTTAGATTAAAATTATTTATTTTAATTAAAAAAAAAGATATTAATTTTTATTTATTTGAATGTATATCAATCGATTATTTTTAATTATATTTATTCGATGAATCAATCTTCTAAACGTCAATATAAACAAAATCAAATTGAAAAATCTTCAACTATATTTAATGATGAAAATAATCATTCAATTAATAATGGTATAACATTATCTTTACAATCATTTGTTGATGATATACCATTTGAATTTAATCCAAAATATCGAACTATTATTGTTGTATGTTTTTAATAGAAATTTTTTATTATTTATTTTTTTTTTGTTTTGTTTTTCTTAAGCCTAATATAAATATTCCTGAATATGATACAACTAAAATTCGCAATATTCTTGCTAAACCGGTAAGATTTTTTAAACAAAGAAAATAAAATTTGAAATATTTTCTTTTTTGTTGTTGTGATATAGATCGATTTTACATTAGAAAACAATGTTTTATTAGAAGCTTTAGAAGATTTACAACGTAAAAAGAAAGAAATTCAAGAAGATACTTTACGTCAACAATCAACATCAGTTACAACAAAGTAAATCAATATAACGAATAAACGATGAAAAGATAAATCTCTCTGTAGTTTTTGTGCACATATACAGTATAACATCTCTATAATTGATATTCTTAAAACTTTTCAAAAGTATTTATCATAGAACTATATGACGATGTTTACTATAGATAGATTTATTTCTAGCAAAAAGCACTTCGTCGAACCAGAAGGTGTTCATTATGGGAGGTTTTACTGTATCTCCTATAGGTCGATGTAGAAGAGATTATTTTTTACAAAAAAAAAGATTTCTCGTACAATTATCTTAAATAATTTCCGTCATTTGTTTTTTTCATTGAATGCTGCCTTGATTAAGTTTCTGTAAAAATGACAACTAAGTTCGTATTGAAGAATCTATCAGAATACTTATTAGAGATATACCTAATCCAAGAGAGAATTTTCTTCTTAGATTCTTATTTTTTTTACAAATTTCGTTTAACTTTATTGGTTACATTTTATATTGAAACTTTGTGGGAATGATCTGATGATGTAGACAAATTGTTAGATACAATCTCAGCGATCATTCTGCAACATCTTTTAATAGTTGTTTAACCTAGTATACTATTTAACTCGCGAAATATCTTCGTGAGATATACACTAGTCTGATGTTTTAAAAGTACTATTTTCTATAAACTTATACTTTTCATTACTGAAAGTTGTTTCCTTACAAGAAGTGCAATGGAAAGAAAACATAAAATAATATGGAGAAAATTTCGCATCTTTTATCGACAAAGATTATAATATTTAATCCATTAGGTTACTATATCTGGGATGAATTTGTAAAGGTCATTAACTAGAATAGGTTGTTATCAAAAGAATCAATTATTCAGGAATTGATATATATGCAGTAAAAAAACAATCGTCAAAATTTTGTCTTTGAAAATTGTATTTCTTAGATCAATTAATTGCATCCTATGTAGACAAATTACGAAAAATATTTAAGATAATAAAAAATATTTACATTTATAGAGAATTAAACGAATAATCTTTTGTATACAAAAGAAAAAGTTTTCTAATGAATTTATAATAGATATATGTGCAAAATACGGCGAGTTTCATTTGTCATCATCCATCCATTAATATAAATATTGTCTTTAATTTAGTTGTCAAACGACAAATTCGTTATCAATTTCACCAAATACATTGTCTGAAAATATTCCTTTTCCTGTAACTCTACCATCAGTACCTCCACTAACGCATATACCGAACTCTCAACCTACGTTACATATACCGATTCCTACCACTTCGTTTCCAGTAGCACCTGTTCCTCCTCCTCGTCCTCCTATATCTCCATCACTAACAACAAAACCTTTTATTGCACCATCATATCGTCTACCTTCTGTACGTGATATATATTGGCCAACCGGTAATCAACAACATTATATTGCTCCTATAAGTGATCCGTCGACATTAACATCGACTACATTAAATTTACCAACACCAATTCGTTCAACAAATTCATCGCCTAATTCAGTCAAACCAACTAATCAGTCATTTAATAACTGTGATTCAACAGCAGCTAATGATTTAACTGCTACATTTGATGAAACATTGGGTTCTGATGATCCTTTTCATGATGCTGAACTTAAATCATTGAATGATGTTGCTGAATTAAGACATTTATATTCGGCTATTGGCTCAGCCAATACTGTTCGACGATAAATTACATCTAATTTTTTTTTCCTCTTCTGTTTTTTTTTTATTGTTCAAATACCACTAATAAAATTTATGAGAATCATATCTGGCTATGAAATTTTGTTTTTTTGAGACATTAGAATTAGTTCTATTAGCAGTAACTATTTCTTTTTTACATAGTATATTTATCGAAGCATATGTCAAATTTATCATAACAAGATATTTAATCCTTTATTCTTCATATTGATGGACGTTAGTCTACGTGAATTTGTAGATACATATTATAAAGATGAGATCTTTTTCTGATGAATATATTCACATTCTTTAGACATCAATGATGAAATATGAAGTGTTTGATATATTCTCTAATCATATGTAAATCGTTATTTCAATTCGCTGTATTTTTTTTTAACTATGGTATTTCCAGCATCATTTTACGGTCTATTCTTTCTTAGCCAATAAAATATTTGAAAACATCTAAAAGTATAGCGATGTACTATAATATGATTTTTTCCAACAAACACTAGTATATTTAATATGTTTGTCAATGTTTTAATTAGTACATTATTCTATCTTTGTATATATAGAAATTTATATTCAAAATGTCAATGATGATGGGTAGTTGTAAATTGATTTGCCACCATTGTCATGTATATCAAAATTAAAAAGCAGGAGTTGATCGAGATAATATAGTAGAACATTCAGACCTGCTGTTGAAGATTTGATTTTGTATTTAATTTAATGAGTAAAATAATAATCATAAGGATAAATGAAGAAAAACGAAATAAGAAAAAGAAAAATAATTAGCAAAGAGGAAAAAATGTAAACGAAAAATAGAGCTCCCGAATAAAAAAAAATTCTGTTTGAAGAACAGAAATAAATAAGATAAATCTTTTACGGTGGGGATCGATTATCTTAGAAAACAATTGTTGTCAATTCCAAAATGGCAGCGCTTACAAGATTTTTATGATAAGTTCCACACAGGTGAAATGTAGTCAATTGATTTCGATCACCATGTAGCAGAATTAGTTTCCGTCACACCAACACCATTGTCGATCTTGTATGTATGGCCGAGCCAATCAATTGCTCCATTATAAGTTCCATATGGTTGAACAAAGTCAACAACAATGAGCAACAGATGATCGTGTTGCTCATAACTTCCCCATGGTTGAAAAGTCAGATGAAGTATTGGACTATTTGTAGTATCAACAGATGAATCGAAATGCCAAGGCTGACTTGTTTGAAACTGTTCGCTTGGTAATTGAAAAATAACTTTATCGACGGTACAGACACGATTATTAATCCTATGATATGACAAATTTTGAAGGATTATTCTATTTTAATACGACTTACCAAATAGCATTTTCCATCGAAATACCATCTTCATCATCGTAAATTTCAGCGGAAAGATTGATACCAATACTTACCGTTTGGTTATTGGAGGAATATACTCCATTTATTGACAATGAAGCCCTATATTAATTAAATGAACGATATTCAAGAGAAAAATTTATTTTCAAAAAAACAAGAAAATACCATTTCCAACTGGTTGTATGTTCGAAAAAGCCTAACGTCCAATCACTACTACCAAGACCATCTATCGATTGTTCATCTTGATTACCAATTTTTAATGTTCCCTGAACAGGTCGAGCAGCGATTTTATGAGTGTAAGCTGGACGATATTCTCGTATTGGATATAGTAGAACCATTGAATCGTCGGTGTCTGGAGAAAATTGCATTTTACAATTCAAGGATAATCGAACTCCATCATTGACTGGAACAATGGCGTTAATTTGAAATACTTTCTCCGTAGAATTATAGCACAGACGAATATATTCGGTATCCGATTGACAATAGTAGGTACAACCATTGATCGATGATTTAGCTTTTTCTTTAATGGCTATTGCTAAGATCGATTGCGGCGAGTATTTATAGATATTACTGGCATTTGTTCGATCAATAACGTAGAGAAAAGCATTCGCCTCATAGTTGAGATCGACAATAGTGACAACAATGAAATATTTTGGTGTAGAAATGGATTTGAAATCCCAATTTTTCAATGATAAAAAGTCGACTAAAAATGGTGATACCCATGAAAAATCGACAATATAAAATGGCTTTTTGTAGCGACCATAATCGTTGGGTGCTGAAGGAGGTGTATCTCGAATAGGACCTAGATTTTTTGGTTTCCAACTGCTGAATAGTACAGCCGTTGTAGATAGACCGAAGTGATCTAAAGCAGTAAAATCTAATTGTGGAGATAACGTAATTGACTATTCTTACCAATGATCAATAGTAATGAGACAACACCAATAAAAATATTCTTCATCGTTTGTAACCAATGATGAATCTACCAAAATACATGTTATCGATTTATTTTTAATCTAATACTGATTTTTAGATTAAGAGGTGTTATTTTGCTAGTAATGCAGTAGTACTCAAATAGTTTACTGTTTCAAAGTAAAATAAAGATAAAGTATCTCCTCTATTTTATAATTAGAGAAAGATGAAGCCAGTTCTCTGTGAAAAATTGAATCTAGAGACTTTTCTCTCTTATTCTGTCTATGAAAAAAATACAGGTTAACTATACAGAGAAAATAAAATGTTTTTTTTTATACGCACAGCAATATCTTTCCATTGTTTTTCTACATATTGATCGATAGAAGTTTAACTATTGTTTTGAATATTCATAAGTTCAATTTCATAAACCTGTCTGTCTGACTAATAAATCAGAGTAATAACAGATTCTAATAGAAATTCTGGAAAAACCTAGATTTAAATTGATACCTATTTTGAAGTGCTAGGTTAAGATTCAAACAAACATTAAATTTGTTATCTGTTTTGTATTAGTCTTTTCTCTTTTTCGCTCGTCTGTAGCTTTGTCTATATCAACACTGGACGAATATTGCATATAGGAAATAAATACCATCAAGAGAAATCCAATTTAGCATTCATTCTAGGAAACTGTATGAGTCTGTTATCCAATCATAATAAAAAATCTTTTCTCACTATTTTCATAAACTTTTTATTCATTATCGAAAGAGAAAATTAGCAGTACATATCGCAGATGTATTATTACCTATAGAACTCATGTATGTTATGATTAATCCTTCATATAAATGTGCATTTTCTTTCTTATAATACAGATTAAATATATATTGTAGTGAAAAGAGATACTATTTTTTGTTTTTTCGATATATATCTGTTATTTATGATTAATATGTCATGTAATGCAGTGAAATCTGTACTGTTTTTGCTATATACCTATTATTTAAAACAGGCAAGGTGAAATAATCTAAAGTAAAAACAACTAAGTGAGAAAGTTCAATTGAAGTGCACTCCACTATCGTGAGCTAGGAGATTTCCTGTGAATTTCTTTATGAATTACATCTACTAAAGCCAATCATAAGAGGAATTAACTATTTATAGGAATATGACGTTTCGATTAATAAGGGTTACGTTACTATGTAACGAAGCTATGAAAAATTTGTGGATTTGATCTTTTCACTAAAGACAGACTTTTGAGAAAGTAATAAATTAGGTAACAATACTGTGAAATTGATTACCTATTCAGATTCATTGGCCCCCAAAATGCCTTTGATCAAACTCTGACAAATTCTTTACTTTCTCAGAAAAGCCTTTCTTCAATGAAAAAAGTTAAGATTCACAGATTTTCCTTTGTAACGTCATTGTCTAGCAACTAGCACTTCCCACTTCTGTATACTCTTGATTAGTGTATTGATTGGCTTTTTCTAAAGAGTAGTTCACAAGAAGAGTGAGATAAAGCCTTTTTCTTAGCATTGTAAAACCAACTGGGTTTGAAAATATCGATACATGAAAAACATTACTTTTTCAGTTTTATTTCATTTTATTTTTCATTTAGTATTAAAGAAAAAATTCTGAATGAGCTTCCATATATTGCGACATTATCAATTCATAATAATTAACTAATAAATCCGTAATAAACCTAACCATAATAAATTACATTGCTTTTCTTTACTCTTGAAAGTAAAGTAGATCTACTCTACTTTCAAGAGTAAAGTAAAATGACTTACTTTACTACACTTTTTCAAGATGAATTAAAGATAAAGTACGAACCCTATTGTATACTTAAAAAAGATACAGCCGGTTACTTTTGAAGCGTTTAATATATGGATGTCACTTTTTATTTGTGTCTATGAAAAAATACAGGATGATGATTCAGACAAACAAAATAGTGCTTTCTTCTACATGTGAAGACAATATATAAGCAATTAAGTGTAACGCATTTAATGAATAAGCTTCAGTCGTGTATGATGCTTAGGAAAAAACACACATAGAGAACGCAAAGAACAAAAATATGTTTTTGGTTTTACATCTGAATTAAAAAATGCGCAATAATGTGTGACAAATTTAATGCAAATGCTTCTGTCCTGTGTGATACTGATGAGAAATACACTTAGAAGGCACAAAAAACAAAAATAGCTTCTTGCTTTGTATCTGAATGAAAATATACACAACTACTTATGACGAATTTAGTCGATAAGTTTCTCTCTTGGATTTCATGTATGAAAAATATTAGAAAGACTACACTGAGACAAAGTTTTTTTCTATATCCAAGGGACAGTAGAGGTGATTATGAGTGATGAATCGGCGTATGAAAAAATACACGTAGACGGTGCAAACAAGTGAAATACTAGTTTTTCTATATTTCGCAATAATACAAACAGTTACCTGAGAAAGATTGGATTGAAAAGCTCTTCTCTTTTTTTTTCATATGTTGTCTTTACAAAAAAATATAGTAAGGCAAATCATTCACAATAAAGAATTATGTTTTTGTTCATGTGCAATAAGTTGAGCACAGTTGACTGTGAAGTGTTCGATTGAAAGGCTCTTCTCCTTTTCATTATTTCTCTACGAGAAATGCTCTGACAAGACGAACTCGAGGAAAACAGATTTTGTTTTTTGGTACGTTTTCAGCAGAATAATGAGATTAGAGATGATTGATTAGATGGAAATGCTTTTCACCTTTTTCATTGTATCTCTATGTACAATACAGCAAGGAATATAGAATTGAATGAATGAGCTTTATTGTAAGTAGACTATTGTTCATGTAGTTAAATAATGTGCTTTGGATCGATAGACCCTTCTACTTTTTTGTGATCTTTCAATTAAATCGTACGTGGATGCAGAAAACCATAAATTAAAGTTTCTTTTGTGTTCGCTTTGCAGAAATAACAAAATTAGGTTGAACAGATTTGATCAATGAGCTCTTTTGTGTTTTGTATTTATCTCAAAGCACAATATGAGCAAGTCGTTATGTAAAGGTTTGTATTTGAACTTGACTGAATCGAATTGTAGCAGACAAAGCAATTGTAAGGGAATAAAGCATTTGCTCAGATAAATAGAGTTCTGATTATGTGAAAACAAATCTCAACGTCTCATGAATAATGATATTGAATAGACAGTTCCATTGAACGCAACGGTTTTGTTTCTCGCATTGCATTTCCTGTGGATCTTTGCTGTCTCTTTTTTTTTGTTACTGTTTTTTTCTTCTCAATGCACAATATCAGCATCGAAGCTCGAATTGCTTCCTAATGAAATACTCGTGGATCTTTTGGAGAACCTTCAATGCTGTTATTGATCAATTTCAACAATTTTATTTCGATTTTACCAATATTCGTAAGAAAAATTTCCAGATTTGTCTTAATCTTCTACGAGATTACCTTGACAAGATTAATGATCTAACTACGTCCGAATATGATAATATTCGAAAAGATTAACACCTTTTTATTTGTCTTTCCATCATTGAACGAATTCAATGGACTCAGTGATCTTCACTTAGATTTTGATGCCGCAATTATTGAAACGTATCAAATTAATCAAGTTATCCGATCGTTATTCAATTGGAGTCGTTGTACTCTGTCAATCAAAGCAACGCATGTATCATTATACGACAAGTTGAATTTTACCAAACGCGAATTATTTTGAGATTGTCAACGATCAAACGGCTTGCTCTCGATATCAATATTTATGCAGCACTATAAAATTTCCAGAAATTAAATTTGTTCAATATTGAACATTTGACAATTGTGGCACAGGGTTGTAAATGAAACGAATCGCAGCGTATATCCGGATGTATACCTCACCTTAAATATTTGAACGTGTAAGTGATAAATAAGTTTGCGATCATTTTTCAATCAATAGCCAATATTTCCCCCTTTAACAAGACTTGATACTGTCATCTTGCACTTTATCGATAGATATACTGAAGTAACATGGAAATAATTGGTAGAATATTTTCATATTATGCCAAATGTGTACTATCTTAAAGTCATCAATTCACACAATAGATATTTCAGTGCAAGTGATTGGCAAATATTGTTTGAGACATCATCGCCATTATTAACTCATTTTCCTGTGAAAATAATTGCAGTTCATCTATCACAACCTGGTCTTAACAGCATTAATAGTACACTGACATCTTTTCAAATTTCATTTTATATCTTTGTTCAAATGGTTTATGACATATATTCGATTTTCAAAAATGATCAAACTAGTAGTGCTAGAATCGAAAACAGAGCTCCATGTGGTCACTTCGCTGATGACACTCACTGAAATATCACTTGATCTCAAGTCAACTTTAATTAGTTGATCTTTGAACGGTATGATCTTATTGGAACGAAGAAAAATATCAAAAATTAAATATTTCTTTCAGAGTTTTTTTCTATTCAACAAACATTTCAAAAAAGAGAATATT